TTTAGTATGTCTCACGACAGTTATTATAAAAACATTGCACACAGACCTTTGTAATGAGACAATCGGCCAAATCAATTTGTATACTGCTGATTATGTAAAGCTAGAACTAATCCAGCACTCTCCATTAAAATCTTTACATATATAATTCTTCTGTGAGTGTGTATGTCACTGAACTCCTCCTAAACAACTGGACCGATTTTGATGAAAATTTTTGTGTGTGTTCAAGGGAATCTGGGAATGGTTTAGATTCACAAATCAGCCCGGCAGATGGCGCTGCAGTCGATGTTTAGGTTATTTATCCTAAACAGCTGAACTAATTTGAATGAATTTCTGTTTATACATTCAAGTGGATATGCAGGACAACATCTGTTGGGCCCGCTAGTAATATTATAAAATTGTCTTTCCAAAAGTTGGTGTGCAATATCTATCGCCGGATACTATATAGACCAGAATCAGGCGTTACTTTGCGTAAATCCATGCTTTACTAACAACTGGGAATATATTTAGTTTTTATTCCACTGAAGGAATGAATTTATCGCTTGCAGTATGCAGCATTGCCCTCCTATGAAAAACGCTTATACAGCAGAGATGCGACATAAAACGCTCACACCACTCGAACCACAGGAGCTGTTAAGTCAACAACTCCTAAGGATACTCCGTGGGGGAGGGAAACATATCGTGTCTTTACGTAAAATCATTATTAAACGAAAATATTCATGAATTCAGTGTTTATATGAATTGATTATTTAAAAAATCTAAAATAATTAGATGGCATTAACTCAATTGGGTGTACTTGCCAACTAGTCAAATTCAATACTTTTTCGCGAACTGTCAAAAACGACAGTCTTCTATGAATTTTGTACGAGATTGTGTATTGTGACGTCACGTTTTTTTAGCGTCAAACAGAGTAGTTATTTCTTAAAAATTTGCTGGAAAAATACTAAAATTAAGTCGGTCATAAAATCAATGAATGAAAGTGTGATTATTTTTTTAAATATTTTATTGTATTGAACAGTCAAACTAATTTATTTTTGATTACTTAAGAAAAGTACCCAATTCATGAAAATCTTAGTTTTCGTTTAATAACGCTTTTACTCTAAAGGCGCGATATATCGTGGGTGATTCGAACAGTTTGTTCTGTGTTATGTATGTGTTTAGCTCGCATCTCTACTGCATGAGCGTTTGTCTGCGGGCTGGGCAGAGATACTTATACATACTGCATGCTGCAAATTCATTCCTTCAGCGCAATACAAACTTAATATTCCAGTCTTATAAAAACTTAGACGAAATATTATGATTCTCATCTTGTATAACTTAAAACCATAGTTATGAGATTTTTCTTCATTCATATTATTAGTTACTTAATAATTAGGTATATAACATTTTCAAAAATAAACACAACTTAGTTATTGATATCATTACACAAATTTTTGAACTTTTAATCGCCGATTTTTCAATCATGAGTTAATTAACTAAAAATCGCGGGTTACTCACGTGAATATACTGAGAAAAGCTCTACTAGTTTCGAACCACAGAGGGTTTCTTCCTCTGTCGCGCAGCCTACTGGCCAGCGTTGGCGCTCGCATCGGTGTTGCTACTTGCGCATCTAGCCCAACGCGCCCTCTGCCGGACACCACGAGCGTTTGCTTCCAACTCCGGCTGCTTATGAGGAAGAACCCCTCTGTGGTTCGAAACTAGTAGAGCTTTTCTCAGTATATTCACGTGAGTAACCCGCGATTTTACTTAATTTAGTATGTCTCACGATAGTTATTATAAAATCATGAGTTAAATTGACATTTGACAGTTTTTAGCATGGAAGAATTGGGTACTTGCCTACTAGTCAAATTCAATATTTTTTTCGAACTGTCAAAAACGACAGTTTTCTATGAATTTTTGTACGAGATTGTGTATTGTGACGTCTCGTTTTTTTAGCGTCAAACACAATAATTATTTGTTAAAAATTTACTGGAAAAACACTAAAATGAAGTTGGTCATAAAATCAGTTAATGAAAGTGGGATTATTCTTTAATATTTTATTGTATTGAACAGTCGAAATAATTTATTAATGAATAAGTCAAGTACCCAATTGTCGAATATTCAAAATTACTTATCCAATACAATTTATCTGTTAGAAAAATTAGCCCTAAATCCTATAATTTTAAATATAGATACAAACACACATTAGATTTAAATTTTTTATAAATCAAAGAGCTTCTAAGACGTGTATTATACTAATACTAGTTACTGCCAACGGCTTCGACCGAGTTACCATGATAAAAACTAACCCGTGTGTTAATCCAGACTAAAATCCATCTCTGTGCCAAGTTTCATTTTCTTTTTTATGGCATAAGCCGGTAAACGAGCAGACTGATCACCTGATGGTAAGCAATCAGCGTCGCCCATGGACACCTGGAACACCAGAGGCGTTACAAGTGCGTTTCCGGCCTTTTGGGGATTAGGAGTTTGAGGATTGTGGGGAATTCGGTGATTGGAGAGATTGGGGAAGGGGAGGGTAATTGGGCCTCCGGTAACCTCACTTACACGACGAAACACAACGCAAGACAATATTTGTTATTAAATTATGTCGAAACTACTGAACGGATTTTGATGAAATTTAGCATAGATATAGATTGTAGTCTGCAATAACACACAGGTTAACTTTATCTCACAAAAGTTGGTATTATCGAAGTGATTGCAAATAAAACTAATATTAGCATATTAACATAGATTTTAAATTAAAATAGTCCTAATATTAATTTAATAGGATAGGTTATCATTACAATTTAATCTTTGCACATACGATTTATTTTTCTAATTAATTCTTTATAATACCCGTTTTGTTTGTAATTGGTTTGTAATCAAAATATACTAGAAACCGATATTTTTCCTTAATTCGGTACATATTAAGTATAATAAGTTTATCCTTATTTTCGATTGAGAAGGATTTTTCAAAAAAACCTCGTCATTTCATCATTTATAATATAAAACTATATTATAACTCCATTTCTTCAAAAATCTGTCATTTCATTCATATTTTATTGCATACAAAATACTCTAAAACTGTCTAATTATTGCATTTTAAACCTTATTACAAAGTGTTGAGGTTAAAAATCTAGTTTCTTGCTCGTTCATTGTACATTCCCATGTAGAAACATAGGAATGTACACTTTGGAACAAGCAAAGGACTAACTAAAAATCGCGGGTTACTCACGTGAATATACTGAGAATAGCTCTACTAGTTTCGAACCACAGCACAGAGGGGTTCTTTCTTATGAGCTGCAGCGATGTCGCGCGACCGCGCACGCTGCTCATGAGGAAGAACCCCTCTGTGGTTCGAAACTAGTAGAGATTTTCTTAGTATATTCACGTGAGTAACTCGCGGTTTTTAGTTAATTTAGTATGTCTCACGATAGTTATTATAAAAAAAACAAAGCTAAGTACTGACGGACAGACTGACAGACAATTAAATTTTTTGTTTGCCTTTTAAAAGTACTTTTTTAAGTCTTACATTGACATTGAGATTTGAATATTTGATATATTGATTTTAATTTTGACATTTACTTTGACTTTGACGTTCACTTTTGACATTTGAATTTTTACATTATGGAAATAATTAGACAGTTTATAGTAGATTGATTTGCAATGCCTGATCTTTATCCTCCACTACTTACTAGTCAGGATATCTAGTTCTTGTAGTTAGACCCAAAATATATCATTTTTTGGATCTGTAATAGTCAAATCCGTGTTTCTTAAATAGTAAAAAAGGTGTTTTATTGTTTTCTGTTTTCATATCATAAATAAATAATATCTAGTTGTGCTTGCTAAAATTGTAAAACCTATAAAAAAATATATAGGTTTAGTTTATAAAACAAAAAGAAAAATATACCTATAGAAAAAAATTCCATAAGGTTTTTAGTTTCTTTATAATTTGATTTCTTTTTTATAATTGTTCTGAAAACTGAACAAAAAACCACTCTTCTACTATACTATGTTACTGAGAATTTTAAAAATAAAAATCTCATTAAAAATCTACTCCGGCAAACCAATTTTGAGACCTCGTTGAAACGACCAACGATCATCTCAAAAAATACACCAGTAAACAATAAAATTAGGCCAGACTGCATTCTTTACTTTTACAAAATTATAGCAAATAATTGTGAGAAGATAATACTAGGCACTCAATGCCACTGTACAATGTAATACCCAGTTTTGACTATTTATGTTATGAGTCCCATGTAATAGGGGGTGATCCTATTGCCATATACCGAGCACAATTCCAGTATCCGTGCTACTACTGAGACTTTTTTTAAAATCCCAGTAATACCCAGAGAGAAAACAGTGAGAAGTAATTTCGTAATTGGCCTAATTTTATAGTTCACTAATAGTTTATCAACAAAATGACATGTCAATTACATCAAAGTAAAACTCACATACAAATTGATCTTTGAGCAATTATTTATAGCTTCTCTGACAAAATTATAACAATATAATTATTAATTATTATGTTTCCGACTTACCACGTAACTTATTTGACACGACGCGTTGCGTAGTTTCCAGGGTATCAAAATTAAAAATCTAATTAGTCCGTCAGTTAGATAATGAAAAAATATTAGACACGTATTTTTTTTTCTCGTATTAACTCGTCGAGTACCGGTTTTGTAGACACAATTATAGAACAATAGGTTGCGGTCACCGGTGACCGCTTGGTGTTTGACAGTTTAAGTTACAATACTTAGATAAAATGGCGCTAAGTTTAGGAGTGGTTGATACGTCATAACGTGCTACAAAATGTGACACGCTGTGACGTCACACAATATTTCAAATTAATATATCGTCGAAAGTATTTAATTTTGTGAGAAAAGAAAAAATACGTGTCTAAAGTTTTAAATTAATGTACCAGACGGACATTAAAATAAAATTTAGGAAACTGCCTTATTCTGCTCATGAATATGAGCCTCTAGCATGGTTTGAAACTAGTCGAGTTCCTCGTCATATAATTACGTGAGTAAGCCGAAAACATAATAATTAATTTAGTATGTCTCACGGAAGTTATAATATAGACAATTTAATTGTTTTCTCCTCACCCCATGAACATTCTTGTCCATTATTCTTCATGACGATACCTAAGTACGTGTGTCGCCTGGACAGTCAACCTCGCTACATCCTTGTTGACTGGACATCTACACTACATGAGCTGCTGTTTACATTAGCTCCATCTCTTTTGGTCATTTTGATCCTAATTTTGGATCAAACTTTACCGTTAAATGATCTCCACATATCCCTGATACGGTCAAGATGACATACCATATCAATTTTGCTTGTCAAATCTGGTAATTTCCTCTTTTTTTTGATTTTTCATATTCAAGTCGCGAGATTAGAAAACCTCGGATCAAAATGACATTTCTAATCATTCTTTTTCAATCGCTTTATGACATTCGGCGATACAATCTCCAATTTCCTTTTGTCCCCTATCTCTGACATTATGATAGGTTTATTTAATTTAAATTTTTGCACTACAGGCGTCAATTGGGGCGTGTTGTCTTGTTTTTTAGGTAACTGAGTTATGGGACCGACTTTGATAGGTTTCAAAAGGTTATTGGGGATCCCTATAACTGGAGTTTTGATGGTGATATTTTCCAAAATGACTGGCGAATCCTTTTTCTGGTTACTCGGTGGATTTTTGGCCGGAGGCGTTATTGGTTTCTTTTCTTTAACTTCTTTTATATTTACGTCGCCTTTGTCATCTTTGAAAAGCATAAAATCGCTGCCCTTGCTGCCGTTTGGTAGCGCATTATCGAAATACCGTACCGAAGTTAATTTATTAGCTATTAACATCGATAGTTCAGCTATACTAAATTCAGCTAAGAGGTCGTTCACGCTAGAACCCGTGAAGTTAATAAGATTAGGGTCGGCGCCATTTTCTACTAAAATTTCTATAGTTCTTTTGTAATGGTCTACTATCTTCGTTTTATTGCCTCGTTCTGAAAAGAGAAAATATAACTATTAATGCGAGTCACTTTTTCACTATTTATGCTATATGTCCCATGTAATAGGGAGTGAGCCTATTGCCATATACCGGGCACAATTCCAGCCTTTGTGGCACTATTGAAAACTTTCTAAAACTAAAAATTTTTTTTTGCTATCCCCGCTAGTCCCAGACCCGGTAATGACCTGACGATCGATGCAATAAAACTACAGGGTGCAACATCCACAGATTTTTGTCGGTTCGATTATCGTGTGCAACAAGCAAAATAACAA